CTCTAGGTCCATCCATGTTCTTACAGAAGGCATTATTTCATTCTTTTTAATGGCTGAGTAATATTCCATTGTGTATATGCACCACATCTTCTTTTTCCACTCCCCCGTTGATGGACATTTAGATTGCTTTCATGTCTTAACTATTGTAAACTGCTGCAATGAACACTGGGGTGCATGTATCTATTCAGGCCATGTTTTTCTCCGAATGTTTGCCCAAGAGTGGGATTGTAGGGTCATATGGTAGTTCTATTTTTAATTTTTTAAGGAATCTCCATACTGTTCTGCATAGTGGCTGTACCAATTTACATTCCCACCAACAGTTCAGGAAGGCTCCCTTCTCTCCACACGCTCTTTGTTTGTGGATTTTTTTTTATGGTAGCCATTCTGATCAGTGTGAGGTGATATCTTCTTGTACTTTTGGTTTGCATTTCTCTAATAACTAATTCTAATGTTGAATATCTTTTCATGTGCGTATTGGCCATCTGTATGTCCTCTTTGGAGAAATGTCTATTCAGGTCTTCTGCCCATTTTTTTAGTGGGTTGTTTGTTTTGATGCTTCTAAGCATCATAAACTGTTTGTAAATTTTGGAGACTAATTCCCTATCAGTCACATCATTTGCAAATATTTTCTCCCAACTGTGGGCTGTCTTTTCATTTTGTTTATTGTTTCCTTTGCTCTGCAAAAGCTTTTGAGCTTAAGTGGGACCCATTTGTTTATTTTTGCTTTTATTTCCATTATTCTGGGAGCTGGACTGACAAAGATGTTGCTGTGATTTATATCGGAGAGTGTTCTGCCTGTGTTTAAAAGAGCTTTTAAAGACCCATACTCAACTACCATTTTTAATTTGAGTTTATTCAAGATGGCTATACACCCGGCTGTTTGGGTAAGTCTTTTTGAAATGAAAAAGTTGTCTTGGACTTTTCTCTTTAAGTAAAAAGTATTAATGAGTCTGTTGCAGATGGGGCATTCAGAGGAGATATAAAATTGTGTTTGTTTAAAACCCTACATCCTTTCTTCAAACACTGAGGAATTATTCCCAATAATCTCTAGCAGTTTGACCAAATCCCCTTCAGAGGGACCCTCTTTCTGTGTGTTCTCAAGAGTTTGTGGGAGGTAGTTTCAGCTTCAATCCTCAATCTTAAATTGTCTTCTTTCTTGCCGTTGCTATCAAAAGATATCTATCGTCACTCCAGGGGGAACTTAGAATATTACTGGTTTGGTCAGAAGTTTTTACGTGCACTCTTAATATTCACACATCCCTCACACCTCCTATAAATTGTTTTCATTTTACCCTTTTGTTGAAACAGTGTAACACTTCTCGAACTTCTCTTTTATCACACTTTCAACAGAATCTCTGTCCAGTGCAGTTAGATACTGGCCTTTACTGCTTAGAAAGAGTTGAGATTCTTAAGAAAACCGGAAAGCATTTTCTTAACCTTTTACTGAATTGACTAGTTATTGATCTATATTCACTGAGCTAACCACATACATCTCTCATGCTGTGTGTGTGTGTGTGTGTGTGTGTGTGTGTTAATATGGCTTCTTGGTTTTTGTTTTTTTCCCCGTGAATGACCAGTTATAAGATTAAATTGTCATTGAAGTTGTCAGTGGGACTCAGTCATAGAGCAATCTTGATTCAGTAGAAAAAGCTGTAGCTTCAGAACCTAACCTGGTAATCAAGTTATTTCCATGGGAGCTGGAGGCATTCTCCTCTGCAATCGCAGAGCTGCAAGAGGCTGCCCGGTCGGGCCGGGACCCAGGGAATCTGGGCACCAGCTGCCGCTTTCCATTCCCCAGCATCTGGCCCTGCCCCATCTGCTCACTGAAGGAAGGGGTGGAATGCATTTCCTGGTCCCCTCCCCTGGCCTTAATGGAAAAGTAAAGGCTAAATACAACACGTGTTTACAACTGTGCCAGAACGGACGGCAGCCCAGCGCATCAGTGCATCTCTGCTGTTCCTCCCTCCCCGAACTGACGGTAACGTGGGCACTGCAGGTGTCCTCAGCTGGGAACAACATCAAGGACACCAGGATGTCCTGGCCAGTGAGCAACCAGCATGTGACAAGGTGGAGCCTCCTGGCCATGACCTGGACTCTGGAGCCCTCTTTTTCTCTCTTGCCCTCCTTGACAGTTGTTTTGTTTAATGAGTTTTAGCTTTTTTTAGTAGTTTGATATTCTCTGAATATCCATATTCTCTCAATATTCATTACTTTGCCAACAAAGTTTCTTCTAGTCAAAGCTATGGTTTTTCCAGTAGTCATGTATGGATGTGAGAGTTGGACCGTAAAGAAGGCTGAGCACCTAAGAATTGATGCTTTTGTATTGTGGTGTTGGAGAAGACTCTTGAGAGTCCTTTGGACTGCAAGGAGATCCAACCAGTCAATCCTAAAGGAAATAAGTCCTGAATATTCATTGGAAGGACTGATGCTGAAGCTGAAACTCCAGTACTTTGGCCACCTGAGTTGAAGAGCTGACTCACTGAAAAAGACCCTGATGCTGGGAAAGACTGAAGGGGAGAGGAGAAGGGGATGACAGAGGATGAGATGGTTGAATGGTATCACAGACTCTATGGACACGAGTTTGAGTAAGCTCCGGGAGTTGGTGATGGACAGGGGGGCCTGGCGTGCTGCGCTCCATGGGGTCACAAAAAGTCGGACGCGACCGAGTGACTGAACTGAACTGATTCTCTGAAGAGAACGCACGTAAATCTGCCGAGCTCCATCCTCTTCTCTCATCTTCCTCATTTGTGCCTACCGTTCTACTAAAAAATTACATATTCAGGAAAGGGCAATAATTCTAGAAGGCAGGAGGACCATTTAATGCTGAGTGAGCATAAACAAGTATGAGGACAAATGTTACAGAAAGCTGTGTGGTGGGTCCGGCTGCTTGCAGCTCAAAGGCCAATAAGCAGGCCAGGTTGGCGGAAAGGAAACTTTGCTTTATTTCAGATGCTGGCAACTTAGGGGGTGGGTGGATGACGTCTGTGCAAAGGCCAACTCCCCCCCACCACCACCACAAGCTGGGGGGGTAAGAGCTTTTATAGACAGAAGTGGGGAGGGGGCTACATGCAGAAACAGCACAGTCAGCTCTGACAGTCATCTTCAAATTGGTCATCAGGGGTCTGACCAGTGTCATGCTGGTTGCTTAGGTCCAGTTAATCTTCACTTCCAGAGTCCATTCATTCCTATTTCTCTGAGGCCAGTTCTCGGAATCGTGGCGGCGCACGTCCTGGGTGCAGTCTGATCATCATGTAGTTAACTTCTCTGCCTGGTGTTCTAGTATCTGTAAGACAGCTCACAGGATGTGGCTCAGAATGTTATCTATAGCTTGTGAGAAAGAGGTAAAGGTCCTTGACTATGCTTCATGACTGCATTATTATTATTTGATCTCCTTTAACTGTTTTTCTTTGTCTTCCGCAATTCTCACTTCTCTGATTAAACTTATTCTTAGACCAAAGTTTTCCATAGGCAGAAGGCAGGCAGAGGACATGGTGGGTGGGGTGGGGAGGCAAGGACCGTGGGGTCCTGCTCCGTTTCATAAAGGGGGAAGGTTTCCTTGTCAAAGATGAAAGCCAGGCGCATGATGAACACCTTGACTTTGCTTTGGAGAGCAGACAAGCTCCTATTCAGGCAGCCATACGTGCTCACGCCACGTCTGCTAAGAAAGGGTGGCATCAAGTCAAAACCACCATGAGGAACCAACTCACACCAGTCAGAAAGGTCTTCATTAGAAAGTCTACAGGTAACAAGTTCTGGAAAGGCTACGGAGAAAAGGGAACCCTCCTAGGCTATTGTGGGAATGTACCTGGTGTAACCACTAAAAAGAGAACAGTATGGAGGTTCTTCAAAAAACTAGAAATAGGGTTGCCATATGACCCAGCAATCCTAGTCCTGAGCGTATATCTGAACAAAACTGTAATTCAAAACATACATGCCCCTCTATGTTCATAGCAGCACTATTCACAATAGCCAAGACGTGGAAACAGCTTAAATGTCCATCAGCAGATGAACCGATAAAGAGGATGTAGTACATATGTACAACGGAATGTGATTCGGCCATAGAAAAGAATGAAATAATGCCATTTGTTGCAACGTGGGTAGACCTAGAGATGATCATTCTAGGCGAAGTAAGTCCCACAGAAGGAGAAACATCTTATGATATCACTTGCACGAGGAATCTAAAATATGACACAAATAAGCTTATCTATGAAACAGGAACAGACTCACAGGTGCAGAGAACAGGCTTGTGGTTGCCAAGGGAGGGGGCACGGGAGAGGGATGGAGAGAGAGCTTGGGGTTAGCAGATGCCAACAATGATGACGAAACAGCAAAGCATAGCCCGGGAAATTATATTCAATATCTTGTGATAAGTCATAATGGAAAAGAATATGAAAAAGAATGTATGTGTATCACTGAATCACTTTGCTATCCAGCAGAAACTAACACAACATTGTATACAACTAGAGAAAGAAAGAAGGAAAGAAAGAAAGTGAAATCACTCAGTCGTGTCTGACTCTTTGCCACCCCATGGACTGTAGCCCACCAGTGTCCTTAAAAAGGATGTCGTCAACTGCCCAACCCTTAACAAATTTGAAGTACTGACCTTTGAGGGCCAACATGGTACTCTTTCTTCTCTTAATGCCCCAAAGAAAGAAAATATCTAATGTCAAACATTTGGCATTTCCCACTCGTTACTATGGAGGGAAGGAGGAGAGGACCCAGGAGACATGGGTTCAATCCCTGGGTCAGGAAGATCCCCTGGAGAAGGAAATGGCAGCCCACTCCAGTATTCTTGCCTGGAGAATCCCATGGACAGAGGAGCCTGCTGGGCTGTAGTGCATGGGGTCTCAAAGAGTCGGACACGACTAAGCACACACACACATCATTTGCACTTAAATTAGGCTGTTCTACACTGAGCAAATGCCTTTTGTTGTTTTATAAGATTGTCCTGAAAGCAAAGTAGGCCCCTAACTCTTGCCTCCCAAACTGTGTGTTTGCAGGAATACCCTGGTTGAGGACCACTGTTGCTACCCTGGGAAGACTAGGCATAACCATGGCCTTTGAAATTGTCTATTTGGTAAATTCAGAATTGTACCCAACAACATTACGGTAATTCCAACGTCCATGTCATGGTTTCTCCTAAGTAATTCTGCAGGTGCATGTTTTAAGTCGACCGCCTGCAACGCAGAAGACGCAGGAGACACGGGTTTGATCCCTGGGTTGGGAAGATCCCCCTGGAGAAGGAAACAGCAACCCACTCCAGTATTCTTGCCTGGAGAATCCCATGGACAGAGGAGTCTGGTGGGCTACAGTCCATGGGGTTGCAGAGAGTCAGACATGATTGAAGCCGCTGAGCACTCACGCCGTGCAGGCATTAGACTTGAAATCAGAAAATCTGATGCGTGTGCTTGCAGCGTGAGTTGCATTTCCCACCATCTCTCTGTGTGAAGGCTGCAGCCTCTGCTCTGACCACACTCCACGGCCAGCTCCTGAAGGGTGAAATCGAATAATCTTCGCAGCTAGTGCAAACTGGCCTTCTTTCTGGGGGGACTATTCATGAGCACACGTTACTGTCAGTCTAGGCCCCACGAGGGCACATGAGTGCCAGAGCGGGCTGGGCAGTAAGCTGCTGATGGATGATTAATTTCCACCAATACTGTAGACTCCACCCCTGGCTCCAATTAGTCTCGCTGTGACTCTGAGTCACAGAGTGACAGGTGTGAACTGGTGCAGCTTGGAAATGAATTGCGTAGGAAATGATTTGCATAGAGTATAAGGGAGGAGAAGTTTTCAATGTCAAACACTAGAGAAATGGGAAATATTGTTACCATTTCTCTTACTTAGGTATCTGATAATATTATTCATCCTGAAGTTATTTAAATATTTTTATTTCAAACAACTTTTTTATTCTACAGAAACTTTGGAGTTTCACTGTGTTCCGGTTTATGTGATTTTGGGGGGATTATAGCCCCATTTCTGCTCTTCCGGCTAGCAGCCATTTGGCTGGAACTACCTCTTATCATCTTTGGTAAGCATTCACTGTATGCACTATTCTTAAATGCTTTCATCCGCATTCTTTGCATTAATAGAACCTACAGTGATGACCAGGTTCGATATTCATGATATTCATTTGCTCTTCCCATAACAACTATCTCAGGTTTTGAGGAACCACAGTGAAATGTGGGCCCTAAATCATTTACATTTATTTTATATCAAAGGGTTGCAATGAAAAGTGTTCAACTAAAGAACTTTTCTTGCAGTCCAGTGGTTAAGACTCCACATTTTCATTGCAGGAGTCATGGGTACGATCCTTCATTGAGGAACTAAGATCCCACATGCCACAAGGCATAAACCACCCTTCCCTTCCTGCAAAAAAAAAATCTGGAAGGCAGGGTTTGGCAGCATGGGAACAAAATACACTTTTTAAAGAAGTGTTCGATTTAGCTTTCTTTGTTGAGGTTCTGAGTTAAAATCAAATACTGTGAAACTCTTTTATGATATTGTGGGACACAACCAGTAGTTTTGGGGGGACCTAGTAGAACCTTTTGTGTGTTTAAAACAAGCCTAAAAATTAATTGTGTTGTTGAAAGTTCCATGTCTTTCAACGCCATATCTTCATTTGCTTTGATGCTGAGAGCACCATGTCCAAAGAACAGAGGACACAGAAGCCCTTGCACACATACCATGAGCTCTCTGATGCCTGTCGGGCATCACACCCTCCTTCCTACCCTCTGTCTTCTTGAAACTCATGACGGGATGGAACCATAGCACAGGGCAGGGGCTGGGGTAATTCCAGCCGGTGCCTCGCCATCGCTGGTCCAGCTTTCCTTCCCGGGTCTCACACACCCCTCCTCTCTCCTTATTAGCAAGAGAGGATGCTGGCTGGCTCCTTGCTCACCTGCTCTCCTCCACCTCCACTTGCTTGCTCCTGGTAACGAAGGCTGGTCACTCACTGCTCAGCAGTTTTAAACTCCAGTGAAAATATTGCATCCACGAGGACACACACCCAGAGGAACGCAGTGGCCCTTCAGCAGGGCTGGGACCACAGAGTCGGCGTCTCACCGGTGATTCAGTAAATGGTCATTTCAGACTATTTCATGGGATCTGATAAACAAGCTCAGCGTTGATTCTGGGCCAGCATGAACAAGCAAAGAGGAGGCATTGTTCAGCCAAGACAGAGCGGTCTAAGAGTCCAGTCCCTCAAGGTGGGGGGCTGGCCGGGAGGCGGGCTGGCTGAGCTGGGCGCTGGTGCCGGGGGCAGGCCCTTGCTTTACAGAGGGAGCTGCCTTTCCAAACCGCCACTCACAAGAGCGTGTGATAAAGAAGGGTGTCTTTGGACTTCCCTTGGAGTAGGAAGTGGCAACCCACTCCAGTATTCTTGCCTGGAAAATTCCATGAACAGAGGAGCCTGGCAGGGTCGCAAAGAGTCGGACTGAGCCACTTTCACTTTCACTTTTGGACTTCCCTGGTTGTCCAGTGGCTAAGACTGTGCTCCCAGCTCCGGGGCCCAGGGGGTCGATCCCTAGTCAGGGAACTAGATCCCACATGCCGCAACTAAGACCCCTGGCATGGCCAGTAAATAAATAAACAAACATTAAAAGAAAGAAGGGTGTGTGAGAGCACATCACAGGATCGCTAACCCATGGACTCAAGGGGAGAGAGAGTCAGGGAGGACGGGGCCGGGGAAGGTGAGGGGAAGTTACTCACATGAGAGTGCAGGCTGGAGCTCCAGGCAATGGAAAGACCTACAGTAAGAGGAAGTTGGGGCTTCCAGGTGACTCAGATGGTGAAGAACTGGCCTGCAATGCAGGAGACCCAGTTTCCATCCCTGAGTCGGGAAGATTCCCCCGGAGGAGGAAATGGTGACCTTCTCCAAAGACTGCTGTGTGTGAGGTGGGGCCTGAAGAGAGAGACAAGGCTGGGGAGACCCGCTGGGGCCCGACCACTGGATGTGCAAAGGGTCTGCTCTGTATCCAAACAGCAGTGGGAAGCTGTGTGGAGTTTTAAGCTGGGGTTGGCAGGGTCAGATCCACCTTTTAGAAACCTGACTCTGATGGCCGATATGCCAGGGACTTAGAGGGGACTCTTAGGGAGACGATTAAAGGAATGTTGTTCTAACCAGGCCAGGACTGGGTCTGAGGTGATGGCACGAAGGTGTTGAGGAGTGGATTGATCTGAAGAAATACATTGGACGTTGAATTGGTCAAGAGGGGCTGACTGACTGGGTGAGGCCCAGAGGGAGCAGGGAGAAGGACCGTGACGCCGCTGACTGGGAGAACCAGAGGAGGGTTTAGCGCGCTTCAGAGGAGCCTGTCTGCGGGAGGATGTGCGGGAATTCTATCTGGGCTGCTTGTAGGATGAGGTACCTCTAAGAAATCCAGGCTGAAATGGTGAGGAGGCAGTAGGTTTGATGAGCTGAGTCAGGGGTATGGTGGCCTCAAGATGAAGGTTTGGAAGCCACCTGGATGAAGATAACCGCTGAAACCATGCGAGTGACCGAACTCCCGCCCCCCTCTCCACAGGAAACAGGGCAGAGTGAGAGGAGAGAAGGGGCCCAAGGCGGAGCCCCGAGGAGCCACGAGCGCCCAGTGTCAGCGGAGTGCGAGGCGCCAGGCAGGGGACGCGAGGGGAGCAGGAGCTCGAGGGCCGGGGCCGCCAGGGGCTGGCGGGTGAGGCCGTCAGCTGCCAGAGCTGCCGCGGGGCCGGGCAGCAGGGGCCGGAGGCGGGGCCGCGGGGCCTGCTGGTGGCGGCCCCTGGTCCTCTGGCGGGAGCCGGGCCGGCGGGGACCCTGAGAAGAGCCCAGACCCGAGCACGTGGGCGTGGGACATGACTCTGGCCCACCAAGGTCAGTTGTCAAGTTTTCAAGAATCCTGGAGCCACCCCGGTGGCTCAGATGGTAAAGAATCTGCCTGCAATGCAGGATTCCCAGGTCCAATCCCTGAGTCGGAGAGATTCCGTGGAGAAGGGAATGGCAACCCACTCCAGGGTTCTTGCCTGGAGAATCCCATAGAGAGAGGAGCCTGGCGGGCTACAGTCCATGGGGTCGCCAAACAGTTGGACGTGACTGAGTGATTAACGGTTATCATTAAAAATTGCATATACGAGATGAAAAACAGAGGTAATAAATACACCTGCTCAGTTCCTGATTCATCGGGCTTTGCTGCGTCTGACCTTGAGGCTGGTGTGTCCACTGGAGTCCACGGTGGAGATACTGCTGTTCATCTCCCCAGAGCCTCACCCTCGGGGCTGCGTTGCTGGAATGAATGATGCACAATGGGCGTATTTACACCTTGGAAATAGGCAAACGCTGAAAATTAAGACTTTGTTTTCTGGAGGTATTTACCGGCACAGCACTAGAATATGAAGATATGTCCCCGATAGCTCAGTTAGTAAAGAATCCGCCTGCAGTGCAGGAGACCTGGGTTCGACCCCTGGGTTGGGAAGATCCGTTGGAAAAGGGAAAGGCTACCCACTCAGTATTCTGGCCTGGAGAATTCCATGGGCTGGCTAGTCCGTGGGGTCGCAAAGAGTCGGACACGACTGAGCAACTTTCACAGAAAACAAGAAAGGATGGTGTTTCAAGGATTTCGGTTCTAAGACAGAAAGGAGGATGGTGGCCAGAGGATCGTGTGAGTTTGTGAGAAGGCTCTGTAGAGAGGAGAGATTTGAATACGTTTCAAGGCATCACCAGAGGGATAAAGCTGCTGGAGAGAGGGGATGAACCCCTACAACGAGGAGCCCAGAAGACTCCAAGAGCTGCTCCTGGGCAGACGTGGGGGCCAGCCTTGCCGGGCCCCGCGATGGGAGGAGGGCAGGGATGGGGCGGCTGGAGGATGCTGAGGGGACTCTTCCACAGTGGCCTCTGTTCCCCCCGAAGTAGGAGGTGGGCGCTTCTCAGAGTGTTCGGCACTTCGGTCCCGGATAAAGAAGTATGAGATGGACGCCAAGAGCGCAGGGGCGGTGGGACTGTCCAGGGTCTGAGGACGCTGAGGAACTGTGAGATCGTGACAGAGGATCGCCGGGGAGCTGGGCAGAGTGACCTCACCAGAACACTGCTGCAGGGGGCGGGGGAGTCAGGGTGGTGGGCACAGCGGCTTCCAAGGGGAGCAGGGGCGATGCGGGCGGCTGTGCCATCTGGGGACCGTAACGCTGTTTCCATGTCCCACAGGTACCCTGGCATCCGTCTGCGGTGCTCTTGTGATGCTCCTGCCTGAAACCAAGGGCATCGCCTTGCCAGAAACAGTGGATGACGTAGAAAAGCTTAGCAGGTACAATACAAAAGTCAGCACACCCTAATTGAAAGCGGCATTTCAAACCCACTGGGAAAGGATGGGGCTGAGAAGACTGAATGTGGGGAACGGGATACAATATTAAATCCCTGTCTTGCATCTCAAGCAAAAAATTCAAAGTAGGTTTAAAAGGGTGACTTAAAACTAATCTGGAAATGAACATTTTTTAAATGTGGTCATGAAGAGAGAAATATATCCAAATAAGGTGTGAAAACTCAGAATCTAAAGGAAAAGGCTTGATGACTGGACGAAGCAGAAATAATTTAAATGTGCGTCCCTGGGCAGCCAATGGTGACAATGATAATATATCCATAAAATGGATTGCTACACAGATATTTAAATAGTAGAAATGTAGATATATGAAAGACATGGAGAGATTTTCAAGGGGGATTACACAGTGAAAAGTCACTGAACAATGTGTTATAGTATTTATTAAAAAATAAAACCAAGAGTTATCCCTCTCTATAGCTAGATGGGAAGATAAATGATAGTCAGGTGATGATAGATAGATAGATGATAGCAAAAAGAAAATGGGAGAAGGAGAAAGAGATTGAGTTTAGGGGGAGGGTGTCTAAATAGTGTGCAGAGAAAGTTAATATCCAACCAACATTTAAACATAAATATATTTTATATTAAAAAAGTCACATTACATGCATTCTAATTTTCTCTGAAATTTTTCATAATAAAAGTAAGAGAGATTATGAAAATGGAAATGTATAGGAAAAGACCTAAAATGATAAAATATACCATTGGAGATAGAAATGTGTTGGGAAGAGGGGTGAGAAGAGAGAACACTTATTTTATACCCCATAGACTTCTGCATCATTAAATTTTTTAAAATCATGACAACATGGTCTTGTATCATTTGTGAATTTTATTTTTTTTTAATTTAAAAAAATTTTTTTGGCATGTGGGATCTTAGCTCCTCAACCAGGGATCAAACCCATGCCCCCGGCATTGGAAGCTTGGAATCTTAACCACAGGGCCACCAGGGAAGTCCTTATTTGTGAATTTAAACAAATAATTTAACAGCTAATTTGAAAAATAAAAATCAGTCTTCTTCTAAACAGAGACCTGGAAATTAAGGATATGGATCTCTAAATTTTATCAGATATATTTATGAGAAGGTGGAGATGTTAATAACCTCATGGCAGTTTTCTTCGTCACTTTCTTTGTCACGGCAGATTGGTTAGAGATTAGAAACTGACAACTTTTAGGGTCCTGTGTAAGTGATCAGTGGTTTCACATATGTCATTTCATACTTAAACTGGTGGTGTGCAATAGAAGTTCTTGTCCTCACTTTTTTATGCTCGGAAAGACTTGACAACTTCTGTGTGCTAGAACTGGGGTTGACGTTGCCTAGTGAACAGGTGTGACTGCTGTGTGTTACTCATTTTTGCTGTGTTGGGTCTTCGTTGCCGCCTGGGGTTTTCTCTCGCTGGGGCAAGTGGGGGCTACTCTAGCTGTGGTGTGTTGGCTGCTCCTTGCAGTGGCTCCTCTTGTTGCAGAGCACGGTCTGTAGGACTCTCGGGATTCAATAGTTGTGGTGATGGGCTCAGTTGCTCCGAGGCACGTGGGATCTTTCCAGAGCAGGGCTCAAACCCATGTCTTTTGCCCTGGCAGGTGGATTCTTTACCACTGAGCCACCGGGGAAGCCCTGGGGTAGTTTCATTATCTTAGGCTCTATCCTACTTGATTATGAGTAGCTTCATAACAAGAATCTCCCGGTAGGATTGGAGATTTCTCTCTTCATATCCTCTTTAATGAGGTACCATCGCCCTCTCCAGCGATAGGCAGCCATTGCTAAGTGTCTTACAAGTATTTTAACCAGACTTTAAAACATATATATTGATTTCATTGTCCTATTTCCTGATGCTATTCTGAAGAACCACATTGACGAACGTTCAGAACATCTCAGAACATTCCTAAGAAAACCTTAGCAGTGTACTGAAATCGAACCACCAGCTGACTTCTAACAGCAGCAGCCAATCAGAGGACAGGTAGACGTTTGTCCCATGGAGTAACTCAGTCAGATGCTTATGCTTGTTTGTAAGTAAACAGATAGGTAATCGCTTAGCCTCAACCAAAGCTCTACCTAGGTTTTACCCTAAAATAATGCTACTTGGGGCTTCCATGGTGACGCAGATGGTAAAGAATCTGCCTGCAATGCAGGAGACCCAGATTTGATCCCTAGGTCAGGAAGATCCCCTGGAGAAGGGAACAGCTACCCACTCCAGGATTCTTGCCTGGAGAATTCTATGGACAGAGGAGTCTGGTCGGCTACAGTCCATGGGGTCACAAAGAGTCGGACAAGACTGAGCGACTAATAGTCCTACTAATGCCACTTGAAGGTTGAGGTGAGGTGGGAGATTCTCTTTAAGACACTGCCATTTTATAAACCAAAATTAAGAAATGTATAAAAGGTATTATTAATAAAACTGTCCTTTTGAGAATTACACCATGGTAAGGTCTTGCTTTATCCAGAAAGGATAAATGTTCTGCTGACTGTGGCATCACAGACAATTATTTGGTTTGTGTCAGATTATTTGTGTCAATTATTTGTATTGGGGCCAGATCAGTATGGTGGTTATCCAATCCTGTCCCTCCAAATGCAGTTGTGCTAGAAGTCGGAAGGAGAGGAGAATATTGAAAGGTTAGATGAAGCAGGTGAAATGGTGAGAAAGGGAATAGGATCATCTTCGAAAAAGATATCCAGATTTTAAAGGTAACTTCCCAGGCCCTAAAGGGTCTGTTCAGGGCTGGGACACCCAGGAGGGCGTCCCAGCCAGGATCACAGGGTGGAACGTAAGGAGGAGTTCAGCGCTGACTGTTGGATGCACAAGACTCTGATGTGTCACTGGAGTTTTAAGACGTCCGAGTCTCAGTGCTGCGGAGTCCTTTTCTGCACACCTGCTGCCCTCGTGGAGAAGGCCTTCTGTGCCAACTCTCCAACCAGGGGTACCGCATTCTTCCTTTTGACTCGACTCCACTTACTGCCGCTCCTTTCCACAGTGAGAGTGACACACCCGTTCTTGACCCCCAAACCAGTCAGAGGTCAGATTTTCAACCTCATCAGGAACAGCGTGGAGGGAGAGGGGGTCATTTGAGGCACTAGTGGTCAAGAACCCTCCTGCCAGTGAAGGAGACATGGGAGACTCGGGTTCGATCCCTGGGTTGGGAAGGTCCCCTGGAGTAGGAAACAGTAGCCCGCTCCAGTATTCTTACCTGGGAAATCCATGGACAGAAGAGTCTCGTGGGCTACAGTCAATAAGGTTGCAAAGAGTCAGACACGACTGAACGTGTGCACACACACACACACACACACATGCTTCTGCCAATTCAATCATGTTAAAAATAGAATTAAACAATCTGAAGAGATGGAGCTTTGGAGATGAGAAGCCCATCTGGATGGTGTGCAGGGAAAATTAATATTCAACCGATAAATAAACAGGAAGAATTAGGCCAACAAAAATTCAACTTACATGAATTTCTAATTTTTTTCTGTGTTTGTAACTTTTCATAACAAAAATTGGGTAAGTTAAGTATGCTAGTCCCTACCCTTGAAAAAACACCTAATCAAAGTCTGATCTACAGTTCTGTAAATTCAGCACACTGGTTGCATTCTATAGTTACTTGAGGGGGAAAAAAGAAAACTACTCAGCCCAATTTACTGAAATTTGTTATCATTTTCCCCTCTAAAACAGCACTTAATCATTTTTTAATTTCTCCTTTCTTTTGTTGACATCAGCAGCTCATTTCCAAACCATCTGTTACAGGATAGAAAGTCATAAAGAATTTATATATGTGAATTAACCCCTGCCCAGGGTCTGAGAGCAGGTAAAAAATGAGTTTGGAAATAGTTCATTGTTCCTTTCAAAGCAAGTTTTTATGAGCAGTTATGCTTGAGTGCATTGGATCAAAACCAACTATGATATTGAGTAGTAATAAAGACTTTCTCCCCACTAGTTATATAATCTTTCGTAACAGTTCTCTTTTCTCCTTTGTCAGTCCACATTCCTGTAAGTGTGGCAAGAAAAAGAAACCCCAGGTTTCAAGCTCTCACCTTTGAGGCTGCTGCCAAAGATGCAAGGAAGGAGCCATTCAGGCCAGTGCCCACCAAGGAACCGACGTGCCTTGCAGAGACGTTGTGTGTGTCCATTTCAGCGCTGCAGCTTCAAGTTTTTTCAATACTTTACAAAGACAGTCAAACTATCCAGAGTATTTTTATATAATGTTGGATGAATCAGGACATATCATGCTGTCAAAGCTTCTGGGAACATGTAACATGCGGCTGGGATATAGCCAAGAGCCCGTTGCGTGCACAGCTTCTCCTGAAGTCTTTTTCTCACTTTGGGGCAGAGTCACTGACCCACTGAGTTACGGCGAGACAAGAGGAGCCCCACCCGGTTCTCATGATGGCTCCATCCAGAAGGCAGGATGTGCAAACCACAGATCTGGGGAAAGTGTACAGAAATGGGCTCATCAAATCTGATGCAGAAACTGAGGCTCTGAACTGCGTTCTGAATTCCAGGGTGGATGAAGATTTGGGAAGCCTGTTAAAGAAGAAGCTGAATCAAGGACCTCAGGTCATATGACGCTGAGCCTTTACTTCCTCTCTTAGCACCTGGAGCTCCATAAGCTCCTGGAGCATCTGGGTTTGCAGGCACATTCAGATCTCATTCCAGAAGTAAGAACAAATCTGTGCAAGTTGAGGATTTGGCTGTATTGTTCATAAAATCAGATTTGGTCCCAAGAGATGAGTCAGGATAATCTTGGCTCTCCTTTAGTAGACACTGAGAGTCACCTATTCAGTTTTTTACTGATGAAACACATGGACTGTGATTTCATGGGTCTTATGATTTTAATCATAAAGGAATACTTGTCTTATAAATGAGTTCAGTTTTATGATGGTGCCCACAGTCAAGAGTGAAAACTACGGGCAGATCTCATTCATCTTGACAATTTTAACCTGTCTTGGGGAGAAGCTTACATTTTAGTGTAAAAGAAAGATCAGTTCTAGCCATGTTTAGAAGAATTAGCAGAAGTCTTACAGATGACTTTAGAAGTACTAAAAAGCAATTTAATCTTTTTTTTTGTTGTTTCTGAGACTTTCAATATGTGGAGTTTAAACACAAAAAAATGCTGTCTTTATGATGTTTTGCTTTACGTGTTATATTTGTTATATTTTCAGATTCAGTATGTATCTCATGCAAAATTGTTTAATGAGTTATTTTGGGTGGACTGGTAAAATTGGAGCCAAAGGGTAATTTTGCCAGTTTGGAAGAAAATTTTCTATATGAACTTGTGACAACGTGTATGGTGTATGCGCTAATTGTAAAATAAGTTTTTAAGCCTTAAAGCACATCAGAATTGAATGTGAGTGTTCAGTTTTTCAGTGAAATAAACACCATTCTCTAAGGACATGATGCTACCTACATTCACCCTTTGTTCACACACACTGGTGTTTTCACCTCCTTTGTATCTCTTTGCTACGAGATGACTGTTGTTCCTTGTATTATCACCTTGGAATTGTATTTTGAGTTGACATTTGAATTCTGATAACAATAAAAAATATACATAAATTGTCAAGAAAAATCAGTTTTCATCTGTTCTCTTCTTTCTGAACATGCATCACTGTAAAACACTCTTCCCACATGACAGAGTATGCCACATATCCAGGCAGCCAATTACTGATGGAAATTAAGTGGTCCACCTTCAATATGTGTTCGCTGCTCCTTTCCAGGCTCTTGGCATCATTCCTAGACCCATGTGTGGCCCAGAATAACATTCAGACTCTTCACTGGTCTGGTGTTATGACACTTCTGTTGCTTGGTTTCCAACTCTCTGCCCAGGGTCTTGTGCCAGGCTTGAGCCAAGCTGTCAATAACAGTCTTTATTCCCAAGAGTAGAATTTCTCATGATTCCCCACGTTGCAGCCTTGGACACATTTATCTCAGTGCCAAAAATAAAGACATTAAAGATATATGTCAAGGCATCCTTCATTGTCAGGGTGAATATATGGGTGACTTACTAGGATTTCTCTATCAATCTTACAGGCTTTTTGGTACTCTATCCCTTATGAGGAAGAACAAAACCTTTCAGGTCTGTAAGAGCTATATTATTTACAATTGGTAGGGTGGATGAAGAACATGAAAAGAAAGAAAATCAAAGAGTTAAATCAAAAGAAGTACCGAGTTTATTTTCAACAAATGTCATAGCTGTATTGCCTTGTTATTACAGAATCCAGCAGTCCACAGTCAGGAACAAGTTATTCACAACATCACAAAAAAATGTTGAGGTTTGGCAGTAGATGGCAGCTAAGAACAGTGTCTTACTTGATTTGATTACTGTCAATTATTGCTGAGCATGCTAAATCCCCTACCCAAGTTCCAGCTTCTAGAACCGTTGGTGCTTCACTGTCTCCCATCTAATTAATGCCTTCTCATAGTTTCTTCAATCCAAGGAACATAGGTGGAAACACGAACATACACACCAGGCTTATTGGGGCGTGCGCAGCCAAGACCCCAAGAAGTGACTCCTTGTAGAATGTATTTGTCCTTCTCAAAGCAGACCAGAGGCCCACCACTGTCACCCTGTACAGAGGGAGGGGAAAAAGCGATGAGGGGACTAAGCATCCCTCTTTTTATTATGGGACATCATCCTTCCATTACCTAAATGTACGCTTTCCCAGTATTTGAACACTCCTTTCCTTACTAACCAGGGGCTTCCCTGGTGGCTCAAAGGGTAAAGCATCTGCCCGCAATGTGGGAGACTCGGGTCCGATCCCTGGGTCGGGAAGATCCCCTGGAAAAGGAAACAGCAACCCACTCCAGTGTTCTTGCCTGGAGAATCCCATGGATGGAGGAGCCTGGTGGGCTACAGTCCACAGGGTCGCAGAGTCAGACGCGACTGAGCGACTTCACTTCACTTTTCTTACTAACGGGCTTCCCTTGTGGCTCAGCTGGTAAAGAATCCGCCTGCAGTGCGGCAGACCTGGGTTCAATCCCTGGGTTGGGAAGATCCCCTGGAGAAGGGAAAGGCTACCCACTCCAGTATTCTGGCCCGGAGAATTCATGGACTATAAAGTCCACAGGATCGCAAAGAGTCGGACACGACTGAGTGACTTTCCCTTTCCTTACTAACATATTATTTGAACATCTGCTGTGCTTCAGTACTTAGCAAAGTATATTCAACAAAACCATACCATTTAGTGTCTCCTGGGTGGGGGGGGGGTGGGCCGGGAAATCCTTCATGAGAACTCTACTCATGCCTTCAAACTTTGGGGGTTTCTCTTAGGGAGGGTAACCCCAGGAACAATCGTAAAAGGAGTGCAGGAGTCTCTGTCTTATGCCGACCTCCCTTCCCTCCTGGAAAGGTCCTATGCACCAGCATCCTCCCAGAGGGGTGGGGGCTGTGACCGTGATGTAACTACACCCTTACAACCAGCCTGGAACTCGAGGGCTGGGAAATCACCCTCGATGATCTGAGTCAACCATCAGAGACACACGTTAAAGGTTTCTGGGCAATGTTTAGACGGTGGCCTCCGACTGACAAATCCTGCTCGTATTTGCGGCTTTGGGGCTGAAACGTCCAAGGGGCCGAGGCAGGCCGACGCAAGATGAGCGCTGATCTCTCTCGTCCTTTCTTACCTGGCAGCTGTCGGACCCTCCATCCAGATCGCCCGCACACAGCTCCGTGGACTTGACCCTCCCGTTCAGATACTCGAAGCGATTACACACCTTGTTCTCGACCACGGGCAGCCGCGCCTCCTTCAGGCGGCCCACACCGGACGTGCCTGTGTTTAGAAAGATGAAAGAAAGGGTTACTGGATCTGAACCGTGTCCTCAGGGGAACTTCCAGAACAGCAGAGCAGTAACCATAGGTCTCTGGTTTATCCATGAGGTTGCATAAGACAAGGAGTCAGTTCCCAAAACTACTGGGATTCTTTTTTTTTTCTTTTTGACCCTAGAAAGTGTAAATGTTACATAAGGTTTCATGTTCCCACGTCCTAATTAATCTGGGCTTCTTTATGGGATTTTTGAGGTTTGTTTGTGTGGTTATCTTCTGCTCCTTTTTTCAAATCATAGAGAAAATTATTTTTAATATATGAGATATTGAGAAATACTAGTGCTACCATATGTATTTTACACATTCTCTTCCAGGATTTTTATGTTTCTTCTACTTTACATCATATTGCACATTTTTTTTCACACAACATTACATAGTAAGGACTTTTATCATCTTTATAAATGTATATTTAGATTATATATTTTATATAATTATATTGTATATGTAGATTATACATTTTATAATTCATCTTTATAATTAATATATGAGTGGGGAGTGACTACCTAATGGATTTGGGATTTCCTTTTGGTCTGAAGCAATATTTCTGTCCCTTGGACTCCAAGGAGATCCATCCAGTCCATCCTAAAGGAGATCAGTCCTGAATATTCATTGGAAGGACTGATGCTGAAGCTTAAGCTCCCAATCCTTTGGCCACCTGATGCGAAGAGCTGACTCATTTGAGAAGACCCTGATGCTGGGAAAGATTGATGGCAGGAGGAGAAGGGGACGACAGAGGATGAGATGGTTGGATGGCATCACCGAGTTGATGGACATGAGTTTGAGTAAACTCCAGGAGTTGACGATGGACAGGGAAGCCTGGTGTGCTGCAGTCCATGGGGTCACAAAGAGTCAGACACGACTGAGTGACTGAACTGAGCTAAAGATTTCTGTAAATAGTGGTGACGGTTGTTCAACAGTGTGAATATACTAAATGCGACCAAACTGTACTCGTCAAAATAGTTTAAAAAGTAAAATCTACATTCCTTTCCCAATTAGGGACAGTAAAGACTCTTCCATGGGCTTGTCTTCCCTACTGTATTTCTTTTTTGTGTGTAAGAAAAACTACTGTCTTACTTTGGCAAGTGGAAATAGAACCCTTGCACAGTCACAAGAAGAAATGATGTTTCTCCAGATGGACACACCCAGGTATGTCTCAGTATTTTCACAAATAATCCAGTTTTCCAACTTTGCAAGCCCAGCTTTCACGAGTTTTACAAAGTC